TCAATGCAAATGAAGCCTTTTGAGCTAACTTTCACTATTCATTTGTTCTGGTTTAGGCAAATAATGCATACATTTTTCCCGGATTTGGTCTGGGTTTGATTATTTCTGGCGCGATCCGTGTTCATGATGATATGCTCCTGGCAGCCTGTAAGTTACTGAAACATAACCTTGTTTGATAAAACTTCGATGAAAAGTGATTTTTCCTACACATTTTCAACCACACGTTCTTTAAAAAGAAAATCATTTTTTACGTTTTCCCATATCTTTTCCCTACTTTTTAATCACACATTCTCCATAAAAACACATTAAAAAAAGTTTCATCAAAATAGGGATAAATTGCAGTATGTGCTATATAATTGAAAACAACTAGATTGAGAGTGTTTACCTAAACTTAAATAGTTCACTTGGTAAGTAAATAAGTAGATTTTAAATGAATATTTTGTTACTGGTGAAAGTTGAAGTATGTTGCTTTGTGATAAAACAAGAGCCATGTGGTTACTCCAAACTTTAAGTTGGAAATTCGAACCTCAATACTGCTAATCTTGTATTACTTGTTTTACATCATGTGCTAAATATTGCTGATCTCTCATTTTATGGCAACAGCGGAAGCATTAGCTGAACAGGTTACAGAAGAGAACTTAGAGAATGGACTTATATACCCGCCATTTGCGAACATCAGGAAGATTTCAGCCCAGATTGCAGCCAGAGTAGCAGCCAAAGCATATGAACTTGGTAAGATTCAAAAACTGTAATTATAAAATGCTTTAGCTAAATTGAAGTAATTTGTTATATCTAAATGTCTTTTGAGTTTTTATTTTAATTCTTCATAGGCTTGGCCACTCGTCTACCTCAACCTGAAAACCTAGTGGCATATGCGGAGAGCTGTATGTATTGCCCTAATTATCACAGCTATCGCTGAACCATTGGAAAAATCTATAGATAGTCATTCTCTAGCATAGTTTTCATTTTTCATGTCATTGCTTTTTATTTTTTTAGGTTTCCTTAATTTTTTGTTTTTGTTTTTTGGTTTCCTTAAATTCTCCAAGTGACACAAGGACAGGTAAGATTAGATATTTGCTTATAAGAAGCACCCAAAATGTTGTATTGCTTGAAACTCTTGAAGAGTAAGATATAAAAGCACTTTTTAGAGGTTATTTGAGCCTGGCGTTATACTCTTTGATTAGAAGTGGTAAATAGCAGCAGCAATGGAAAAGAAGCTATCGAAATTCCTTGTTCAATGATCTCCAACACATTTACTACTTATATACCACTCGATATTAGATGTGTAAATGAGAATGTGACGGTGACTAGGATATCTATATCAGGTCAAACGAGCGCTGACTTGAGCCTGGAAAACTTCAATAATGCTACTTGGTACAATCTTATTTATACAATCATGGATGACAACATTTGTTGATATCATCATATTCATCTATTTTTAATATTGTCAAAAACTGTTTTTTAAACCATTGGTACGGATTTTGCCACCTCCAACATTGTCAACAATGTTAGTCAATCAATATGGTACAAATAACATTATTCGGAAAACTTAACACCGTTTTACACATCAGACTCGATATCATGCTTTTGCACCATGCACAAGTTAAAAGTTGTAATGAAATACCAGTGGAGCCTTTTGTTCAGTTTAACTTTTAAACCAAAGAGAGAGATGTCCTGCCGAATTATACCATTTAATTGCACTGAGCTTGAGACTGGGAACGTGGACTTGATTGGTTTCACCAAACACGACTAAGAAAAGAGGCGTGTGACAAAATTTGTTGATTGTCCTGTCTAATACGGTAAATGCACAAAATATGTAGAATGCTGTGACAAATTTTGTTTAGAATTTCTTTTGTTACCTCAAACTTCTTAAGTTTCGAACACAGTACTTGATTATGGGATTGGATAGAAGAGGTCGGGATTAAGGAAATTGTATTAAGGTGGATTATGATGTATTATTCTCAGTGTTCTAAAAAGCGTAAAGCGTGGCTAGGCGTGGACGCCAAGCTTCAAGCTTTACGAGCCTAGGCGGGCCTAGGCTAAACTTAGGCGTAAAAAATCGTTTTTTATTTTAAATTTTTAATTATTGTAAAAAAATTCAACAATTTAAATAATACATATCAAACATCTAAAATTATAAAATATTACATTTATTTAATAATTCCTTCATAAAGTAGCTTGAAATTTAGATGTTGTTGAGGAATCATCTTCTTCCATTGGTTTCTACAAAAAAGAAAAACAATACAAATGTTTATTATTTACAAAAGCCAGACCCAAAAAGCATATGAACGTGAAAACAAATGAAAATTTAGTTACATAAATAGTTAAACACTGATTGGGCCTCGCGTCAAGAGCTAAAAAGTATTCTTGATTAAATTTCCAGATTTTTCCACAGGAGCTATTTCACAATCAGTTTGGAATCATTGCCATGCATCAGATTTATGAGAGCTACAAATTACAATGACTCTCTCGAAGTCTTAAATTGATATGTCATATGTATATATAAAATAAAAATTCACAACATATGATTTTCGATTAATTACAGAAGCTCATATTACAGTTTTAGACGAGTTCTTAATTGCAGAAGCTCATATTATGTTAGCCCGTTTTCACTATTGAATCATTAATAAATGCAAAACACTTCTATTCTGAGTTGTATAACTTCATTACCTGATAATAATCTTAATTGTTGTGAGTTATATTTAAAAATGGGGGAAAAATTGGGCCTCCAAGGCGAAAGCGCGCTAGCCACGTATGGCTCCTAGGCGGTCAACATTGTCGTTGACCGCTTAATTACCGCTTAGCCTCAAAGCGATGCATTTTCATCAAGCTTCGAGCCTAGGCGTCGCCTAGGCGCCGCTTAGGCGAGCTTTTTAGAACAGAGATAATTCTTAAACGATGCAACACCGCAGTTGAAAGAATTACACATATTGAAAAGTTATGTCTTGGTTAAAGCTCACAAAATGTTCATAACAATATGCAATTCTTACCATAAAGTCTTCTCAAGCTTTCAAAGTTTTATAAAAAAATTTAAAATATCAGGAAAGTTTTTCGGAGTTTCTAAATTGTTTTTAAAGAATTTCGGTTTCCAAATGTTCGAAATGGAATGCTAGCATTTTAGAAGTTTTCGCACATCGTAGATTTCCAAGTAATCAACCTATCGGTTGGGAATAGAGGGTGACGAAGAAGATGAAAGAAAGATGATGTGGATTTTTGAAATATCAATTAGTTAATGGGGGGACTATTTTTAATTCTCTCCAACTTGATTCTAAACTCCGTTTATTACAAAATCCTCTAAATAAACAAGAGAAGCAAGAAATACCATTCTTGGACCATGTCTAGGGCTGTCCGTGGGTCGGTTCTGAAGAGACCCGAACCGATCCAAAACTTTCGAATATTTAATAAATGGACCCGTCGGGTCTAAATATAATTATGGAACCGTTCGGGTTCGGTTTCGTTCGGTTCGGTTCGGTTCCGTACCATAATTAAATTTTTTAATATTTACAACAACACTACATAAATACAACTAATGACATTTCATTCATAACTTTTACAAATTAACGTAGTCCAATTCAAAAACATATAAATAACTAGCCGTCCAATAAGATTAATTCAATGCATACAAATACCAAAAAGTAAATATTAATATTACAGTAACACTACATAAAGTATATTCATTTGCTTCAAATTAAAATGGGCTAATGGGTTTTAAAAGTGATTTGAGCTTTAAAATTAAAATTATGAAATAATCTGATTTATTTAATTAATTTGCTAATTTGTTTAGAAAAAAATAAAATAATTTAATTAATTCAATATAAAAAATAAAAAAATTATTTAGTTTCGGTTCTTATTCGGTTCTTCGGTTCTTGGTCTAGACCCGAGACCCGACCCAAACCCATCGGTTCTCGATTCGGGTACCCGTTCGAGTATTTAATTTATGAAGAACCGCTCGGTTCGGTTCGGGTTCTGTTCGGTCCGGTCCGATTCGGGACTTTTGGACACCCCTAACCATGTCCAAGAGGCTGCATATCTCATTCTTAAAGTAGCATTACTTTTTTTTTCTTTTGTTTTTTTTGCAAAATTTAGGTACCTCTAGGGATAGTCTGGTATCCCAACTTCTGGAATTGAAGTAATTACTCTTCTTCTGTCCCCAGAATATCTGCAGACTAGTATCATATCATTTAGCTATGTCAAAGAAAAAGGAAAATCAGAAATCACACTAACATAAAATCGAAGGAAAAATAAGAATATCTGCAAACAGGAATCATGTCACTTAGCAATGTCAAATAAAAAAGAAAATCAGAAATCACAATAACATAGAATTGAAGGAAAAACCAGCATGGGGACAGCTAAGATTCTTAAAGTCGACTCGCATAAGAAGACCAGCCAGAAAGACTTCAGTTGGACTTCTATAAGAAGATCAACCAGAAATACAGTGGTCACCATTGCACCAGAAGCTATACATATATAAATCATCTTGCCATTATTTGAGTTACAAATGGCATTACTAGATAAGAAATATTTATATGAGCTAGAGGCTTAAATTCAGCAAGAGCAGACAAAGTTCCTGAATTTGTTGTCTTCAAATTTAATTGCTTGAGTTATCAAAGTCAAGCAAAACAAGTTAACCAATATGAATTCTCACGAAAGGGAAAAATAGTTAAAATAACATAATGAAAAATAAGAAAACCACCATCTTTATTTATACATGATCAGTTCAGTTGCCATTATCCCATTAAGAAAATTCTATATTGCAGTTTAAAGCCTAATCAACCTATATCACTCTACAATATATTTACCCAAAAGATTAAGTAGAAAGCAATAAAGAGTCAAGTAAACAACAGATACAAGGAAGGAGAGTGATAATCCACTATTTTACTGTACTGTAAACTGCATGGAACCGACTAGCTTCACCCTTGGTTTGATAAGAGCTGCTGAGCACTTGGATGATATGCTGACCACCTTTAAGTCTCCCCTGATAGCCCATGGGAGAGTGGTAATTATTTGATACGGCCACTGCCATCCATTCCTAAACTCAGCTGGCACATACCCATCAGTCCCTCAATGTTTACTGCTTCTTTCGGATTGACTGGACTTGAGTTAAAGTTCTGATGATCAGTAACTGCAGTTCCACCATTCTCTATAGAGGATGAATTTGGTGGCCAAAGTTGAATCGGTAAAGGCGGAAAAGCTGGCTTGAGAGAAAGATCGAGAGAAGGCACTGAACGATTGGTTTCTGCCACTTGAGAAGACAAAAGCACGAGCTGTCCGTTGTCAGTTCCAGCTGTCTGAGGGGGGATGCTAAATTGTACTGGAATTGACAATGAATTTCTAGCCTGATATGCATGATCGCCATAAAAAAAATCAATGAAAGGAAAATCAGTCATATAATCCTTTAATTTATTTCAGATTTTCGATTGCCACAAATTATAAACATTCAGACATTTTCATGTGCGGAGCAAAATTAAAGGGGGGTGAAGTGCATTACTGACAAAAACAGCACGGATTATTAATGATATTTCTTCATTTAAGATGATGTTAGTGACTGGAATAAGAGGTAATCTTATTTATGCATTAGTTTCTGTGTGCAAGTGTGGATGTCTCTACTCGCATATAGGGTTTTTCTTTAATATGATGTACCTTGAATATATAATACAATAGTTGTTAGCGAGATAGGATCAAGACAAACCGTGTCCAGCACCATGTCAAAGAGGCTGGATCTTCTCTTTCCCCGCATTGCTGAATTACAGTGACGATTGAAGAACTTCTGGGCATGGCTTGCTACCTGGGTTGGAGTCTTTGATGGAACAAAGTCTCTTGATATATGCCGCCACTCTCCTTTCCCAAATTTCTGGAGACCAAGAAGGAATTGTCGATGCTCTTCGTGTGTCCATGGAACACCTGCAAACCAAAATCCAATCACAATTATTGAATAAGATTGGAAAATAAAGCTCCCTATTTTTTCATCACCTACTAGTAACATTAAATGGAAGCTTATTAATGACTAGTGTTTAAAAATATGGTTATAACTCTATAGATAAAAGAATACACTCAGAATCATGCTAGAGAAGATATATCACAGGAGGCATACTGAAGATGTCGAAAGTGAGGAAATAATGCTACATAAAATGTGCATTTTCATAAGGATAACGTTGCCATAGATGCACCATAGATCCCAAGAACAATCAAGAGGTCCAATGTCCTATTCTTCAACTACAAGGCTAAAAGATTTCACAGGATACAGAGTACTACGTCGAGGAATTATAAGGAAATTATCAGGGAAAACATACTGCAACGAGTCACCAAAATGCAACTTCTCTTGTTACTAATCCCTTCTGTGTGCTGAAAGTAACAAAGAGGTAAAGGGAAAAAGCTCTTTTTGCCAACTCAAATTCTAGTTGACGTAAATACGACAGGAAGACAGTAACTAATAAATGATATTGATTAACTAATCTTGAATTTGTAAATTTTCACCTGTGTTAGATGAGTGAAAACGACAAAGCAATAGCAACAAAGATCATCAGTTTCTCATACCGGCCAAAAAAGCATTGGCTTGTCATTACTGATCCTATAATGCAATATGTCCATGCAACAATCAAATGAAATATTTAATGTACATGTAAACATGTAGATAATGGTGTTATCAGGGACAAAGATATGCACACACTTAAATGATTCTGCAGTCCAATAAAATGAAGACAGAAAATAGGAAAAACAAAGCGAAGATATAAATTATGTGAGAAAATAAATTACAGTTAATAGAAATCCATGTCAACCCCATAAATGTTATGGGATATTCGGGAGATAAGAGTACGATAAAAAAACTTTATAATAACTGTCTTTTCTATATTTGATAACATTATGATCAAGCAAGTTATCCTCTTCCCTTCCCCAAACCAATTACCCCTCCCAAAATCATTAAAACTACTCTCGACTCTTTATCCACTCAAATGAATGTTCTTTACTAAATTAATTCACTTTTATTTACAGTGCAAAGAGCTTCATTTCTTTCCTTTTTAGTCAAACCTGCAAAATAAATTAACATTCAGAGAGTATTCTGAGTCAACCCCAAACGTGAAATGAGTATTCCCGAGTCAATATTCAAATTTAACTACCATGTCATGAGACTTTGAAGTCCCTTTTTAAATAAAATTGAATTAGAAAATTGGTATTAGGGTCAATCATCAAATTAAATCAACAATTTTCGACTCAAATCAATATATTAAAATAACATCAAAAGATTTTTTATAGTTAATCTTGAATATAAATCAACATGCAATGCATAAACACCACACATTAATACAAATTAACTCAAATAAACGCACATGCAAAGCAAAAAATTAAAAGATTCCCCAAATTAACTCAATTAAACCAACATGCAAACATTAAAAATCCAAAAATAAAACAAAATCAAAACCTTTTCTTTTCTGGGCTCGAGGGAGAGCAGCAGAAGCAGAAGCAGAAGCAGAATCAGAACCGCGACCCGGACCGTCGGAATGATACCCATCGGGCGAATCCGGCCCGGCAGCAGAGGAGGAGGCATGGTAGTTCGCGAGGTTACCCATGCTAAAACTCTTCTTAATGTACGATCCATCTATCAACCGCACCCCAAACAGCGTAAATCCACCGCCATGAGGGCCTCCGTCTCCGTCTCCGCCGCCACCGCTCCCACCACCACCGTCGATTTCTTTGCCGGTCCTCATTGGACAAGTGCGCGAGTTATGCCCATCGGCGTTACAAAACGAGCACTTGCGCTTCATTTTCCACTCAATCCAAATTTGGATAATAATATATACAGTTATATGAGAATGTGTGTGTGTATTATGTACGAATATGCATATATAAACATGATCCGTGTGTATAGACAGAAAGAGAAATGGAGTTTAGAAAGAGAAAGGCGTGGGGTGGAGTGGGGTGGGGTGGGAGAAAAATTGTTAGCCTTTGGATTTATTTAGTAATAGTAGCAATCTAATTATGGAGATTAAGGATTTGGGGATAACTACTGGATTAGGATTTACGCGGTTGTTTTTGTATTCTAGTTGGTTGGTGACGAAGTTTCCTTGAAATGACTGTTTTGTCCCTTTTTGAACACTACCTCGTGCTTACTCGTCGAGCTTTTAGGAGGTGGAATTTGGGCTTTTCGGTGACGTGATCTTTTGTTTGTAGTTTAGGCTCACCGAATTATAAAGTGTGTTTAGTAGAGATTAAAATCAGATTAAAATTAAAAAACTAGCCGTTATTGTTGACTTTTATTAGACGAGTGGGGTCCAATAACGGCTATATTTTCATTTTTAATTGGATTTTAATCGGTACCAAACGGGTTCTCAATGATACAATTAAAAAGAAAAAAAAAAAAAAAAAAAAAAAAAAAAAAATTTATAGAGTTGATACTTAGGGACGTGTTCGGTAGAGATTAAAATCGGATTAAAATTAAAAAACTAACCGTTATTGTTGACTTTTATTAAACTGGTGGGACCCAATAACGGTTATATTTTCAATTTTAATTGGATTTTTAGTGTTATCAAACAAGCCCATAATTGGAAGAAGAAAATTAATAGATTTTTTTTTTCACAAAATGGTTTCTCAAGTATAAATTATAGAGCATGTTTGGCTAAGCTTAAAATTGAAAATATAATCGTTATTGGGTCCCAATCATCAAATAAAAGTCAACAATAATGGCTAATTTTTCAATTTTAATCTCTACCGAACATGTCTATAGTATTTCAATATATTTGATCTGCATGATAGTGGGCCACTTACAACATTAACTCACCATAAATGAGGAACGAGTTATGTTTACATGTAACCGATTCATTACTTTTGACCTATAATCCTTTGTGGGTAAGCTTTCCCGCACAAGATCTTTTCCTACGAGGCAAATATCGACTCACATTGTTGTACCATGCTACAAATAGTTCCCTAAAGCAATGACACTTCTAAGATAGCCAAGAGCGAACCACATCAATGCCATATTAAGCAAAGAGAGAGGGACTTTCATAGAAACAAACCGTTACAAGAGGTACCAAAAAAATTGTGATTGTGACAGAGTTGGTAACGTGTCGATGAGGTCAAATCGACCATAGAAATAACCAAAATGTGGAGAATACCTCCGGCTTGAACTCTATAAATACTCTAGAATAACACATGCGAAAGGTATACTAGCCAAACTCTTTCTATTTTGTTTCTCCAGCACTTAAATTGAAATTTTGACTTGAGTATAGTTGGACCACCTCTTGGGATGATGACCTTGTACTCTATTGTAGTGATTTAGTGCAAAGGTAACATACAAGTTGCAAAGAACATGGCTAGAATATATTGATAGCTAAGCTTGCAAAATTTGAATGTCAACAATGATAATTGCATGCTAGACATATCATTAGTATTTCATAATTAGTGGGTAATATTGCTAATTTCATGGGTCTAAATCATACTTTTGAATACGCTGTTTTATGCACATGGGAGTTATAAAAACAATAATTGTTAAGAAATAGAGAGAAAAATAGAAGAGAATAATAGATAAAAGTCAAACGACTCAATACTCATGTATGTATTTTATTGAAAATCAAACCTTATATTATAGGTAAGAATTAGGTATCCAGGGATACAATTAACATTCAATAATTAATATTTAATTTACAACACTTTCTCTTCTATTTCGTTAAAATATTGTTTGATAGAAACTCAGTGAAGCAAAGATATCATACAAAGAAAAAGAAAACTACAACTATTTTTAAAGTATTAAAAATAAATATTGTCTTGTTAGAACCTTATCATAAAAATTCAATGGGATAAAATCCGAGTAAAGAAAAAAGAGTACAATTACTCCCACTAATATTGATCATCGAAAATTTTTTAGTCGACATGTTCCTATCTCATGTACCAATTCCTTGAATATAGATGTCGACAATTCTAATATTGATCATCAGAAATCTTTTAGTTGAAGCATTTGTATCTTATGTATCAATTTCTTGAATATAGACGTCGACAATGCTTTTGATTATTGAAGATCTTTTAGTTGAACCGTTCCTATCTCACGTACCAATTTCTTGAATTTAGACGCCGACAATTCTTTTGTGATCATCGGAAGTCTTTTAGTTGGCATGTTCCTATCTCATGTACTAATTTATTGAATATAGATGTTTACAATGTTTTTGTGAATAAGTTAGTCACATTATCACTTGAACGAATTTATTGAACATCGATATCATCAGTCTTCAGAAACTCATGTATATAAAAGAATTTTGGAGAAATATACTTTGTCATGCCTCATTTGATATAGTCTCCATCGAGTTATGTAATAGAAATAGTGAGTTTCGAATTTATTGTTCTCACGAGAAATAAGGTTTAAAATGTGGTTCAATGTTTATTATTAAATTCGAGTGAGTAGTGACAGCAAAAGAATGATTTTGTGGTTGTTTATGCTACTTCTAATATATACTAATAAAAGAAGTAAATTGTGGTTTTATAGAATGTGAATACTTGTATTGGATTCATGATTCCCCTTATTTCCATCTATTTCAATTATCAATTAATTATCTAGTTAATTTCATGCATTTTTGATAGTCGATAACGCTACTATGTTAAATGCTATTTTTCAATAAACCAACATATGATTAATATGGCCCGATCATATTTCTAGTCCGAATTCATATGAAAATCATGCATTTAGTTTATGTTATCTACATGATTGCATGTACCACATATATTATTCCTAATACCTATTATCCATGTGTTGATTTTATCGCTTTTTAAACTTATTGTGAGTATTCCTACACTACAATAAGTAATTATGTATTCAACTGATGGCCAAGCAATTAAATAGTGCAATGAGAATGCAAAATCAATCAAGAAATACTTAAATTAAAGCCTTAAATTCAAATAAATGAAAATAAGGTTCCTTAATCATCCAATACTATATAAAAACTTAGCTAATCATCCTAAATATTGAATTACACAAGAAAATATGGAATAACATCACTCCGGAATCAAGAAAGGATGGACAAAAGTGGAGAAACCCACTTTCTTGAATGAAATCTTGAAAAGGGAGAGAAATTTTCAATAATCTTGTGAAAATTCGCCTTTGATTGATGAATTGTCCTCGTTCTTCGCCTCCAAAATATATAGAAAATATAAATTTTAGGTCTAGGGAAGTCTCTCCACGATTTTGGTCAAGTTTGACTTTATATAGATGCCCCAAAGATTGTTAACATAAGAGTTTGAACAAAAATAGGAAACCAAAATTTTTCGTGTCTAGTATAACTATGCGGCAGCATAGCACAATGAGGCGCGGTCGCATAGCACAATGAGGTACGGCCGCATAGAAGGATCATCAAGGGCAAAAAATTGTCCTAGAGGGGTAGTTGAGGCCACATCAAGTTTTATCTATGCGCTCGCATAGTATAAGCTTTTTTTCGCCGGATAACATTTAGTGTTTTGGTCATATATTTCTTTCTCGATATCGATTGAGGTGACTCAAAGTGTGTTGGAAAGCTAATCAAAAGGATATAAATCTTTCAAAAAAATCATTTTTCCAATTCAAACTTTTACTATGCCAAAAATGGGTCTCAAACTGAGACTAAAAATTCGAAGCATAACTTTTTCAGCTAAAAGTTGATATATAATAACACTTTGACTATATTTCATCCCTTTGACTTCATTCCTCATCTGATTGACCCCTATCACTCTCGAATCTTTATCGTGAGATCCAATACAACTTTTGAGTATTTGCACTTTAGTTCCCGAACTTTGAATTTGCTTCATTTTAGCCTTTTCCCATTCTTTCTTTCAAATTTTCGTCTAAATATGAGTTTTTCCTAATAAAACCAATAAATGATAAAATTAGGCACAAAAGAATAACAAAATATTATCATTTAGGTTTCCAAATAAGTGTAGACTTATCAGAAGTTCCAGATGGATATGCATCAAACATCTTTACGCATGTCAATTTGGATAAGCAACCAATATGCGGACTCAGAAGTTATGACAATCACATTTTAATGAAACAACTTCTTTCTTTAGCTATCCGTAAATTGTTGCCTAATCCAATGCCACATACTAAGGTACTTGGCATTTAAATGGTTTTTTTGATAAATGAAAAAGCTGGAAAGATGACCGAGATTGAGTATATATACTAATGCGAACGGATGCTAGCGACAACCCAAAAGACAAAAGAGACGACTTACATCATTGTAACTTGTAAGAATATGTTCGATTTTATTGCGTAAATGACTGTTAGGTTTTGATATCCAATAAATCCCAAGTTATGATGTAAAACGTCAAATATAATTTCACAGGCCTCGGCCATGGTGAATTGATTACCAACAACCAAATACAAAGGCTCGACCCGAAAATAACATGGACCGTTGGAAATAGCTTAAGAAATTAATATTACTTACAACCCATACATTTACCTATTAAATAACTTTTAATCATGGTCCATTTAACCCCCTTTATTGGTCCTACACACACACACACACAGAGAGAGAGACACACATATATGTTGCTTTGACCTAGTGTGTGATTTGTGTGAGAGATAAGAGAAAAATGGCCGCCTATTGCTGGAGAAAAAACGTGTGCTATCGAGAGTGAAAAATTGGCGACTTCTATCTTTGTTTTAGTCTTCTATTTGTGCCTCTTTCATTGTTTTTCTCTTGCTTTTGTGTCTTACGAATCAACACCGCTACCTTGTCATTTATGGTGAGATTGAGAAGTAACCGAGGTAAATATATTGGTTGTGGGTCGGAGCTGTTTGGATTGGTTG